ATAATCATTGGTCTCTTCTCATCACATAGATATATGTCAATGCATCTGGGTAAGTTTAAATCAAAGTTAAGAAAACACTTTGTCAAGGAAGAACACAGCCTTTATGATGCCAACAGAGCATGAGTTTTCACAAAGTACAGTCGCCATTTTTTTTCTCTTCACAATTAACTAACATTACACTTTCAGACAGCGCTGTGCCTCCACCCCCTTCTTGCTATTCTCAGCAGTTTCACAATCTCTTTCCCAAGTAGCAATAACCAATTTAAAGTAAAACACTAACTGCATAACAACGGTTGTTTCCCACCCCTTCATTCTGCAGGTATTCCTTTCCATTTGACATATTATTCCACTGCAATTTATATCAGTTTTTTTTCATTTAATTCTAAATAATTCAGAAGCTGCACCAAGATTTATTACCTCATTGTTCCTCTCCCTTTCTAAATGTTTTATTAATGTAATCAATACCACAACACAATATTATTGGAGGACTCCATGCACAGCCACTTTCTGTTGTGAAAACTATTTCATTCTGACTAGAGGGTCCATTTCCAACAAATGACAACCCTGACAGGCAGTTCTGGTAGTATGGTAGAGTAGCAGTGGATGATCCCCAACCCAGTCATAGTATGCTTTTATTCCAGCCATTCAAAAAATGACACTCAGAATTAACATACCCAGGTTCACAAAGACCTAGTGGTGCAGAATATCCTTAGCCGTAAGATGCCTATAACTAATATGGTACAATAGGCTTCAGGAAAATCTCAAGCAAAGGATTAAGTTTTAACCAGCACACTTTCATGAAAAAAAAAGTGTGTTAGGGGGATGGGAGCTGAAGAGTAACATCAGAAGCTGGCAGCAACCGATGTAACCGCTATTTCTAAGGCAAGTACCACTGGTAGCTGCAATGATGTCATTACCTTCAGACAGAAGAAGAATCCTTTTTGTTTTCCCTATGGATCCTTCCTGCAGCTCAGAGAGATTACCTGCTCTGACTTAGAATGATTTCCTTTATTGATTCTTTCAGGTCAGTCTCTGTAGCAGACTTAATGGACCATTACCTTTGACTTCAAGTCCACCTGGACCTCAACTAGCCTGGCCTAGCTACAGAATTCTGACAACTGAGATGCCTCCTAACACCAAATAGCTGCCCTCTATTGTAAAACAGAAAATTAATTCTACGTTCATTTACACAACAGACAGGAATATTAGTTCCCACACTGACCAGTCAGTCTAGTTATTACCGAATTAAATGTGACAGAAATTATGGCCATCTGTTTAGTGTTTCTTTATAATACCGAACTTTCATTATTCATTTGGCACAGTCATATATGAATTATATCTTCAAGGATATTTCAAAATGCTTTTGCCAAGTCCTTGAAAACAGCACTACAATATCTAAGGGACATAAAGTTTTGAAGCATTAATCAGCTTTCTGGAAAAAAAGACCAGCTTTCAGTCACATTACTCAAAATACTTAATTCTTTAAGGTTAACAACCAACAAAAATCTTGAATCCCAAGTACTCTGTGCCTGAGGGAGTGTCCTGCTAAGTGAGAAAATCCTGGGGCGACCAGCAGCAACCAATTCACAATATATAGCCTTCTCAGTCGTGTCCAATCCATAGCTCTACAAACTTAAGTATCAGTGTGGTTGTGTGAGAACAGCACCAGAAACATGTTCTCAGTGTGACGTTCCTGCATCACCTCCAGGAGTTGCTCCAGAACATTCCTGTATTTCACAACTTGCACAGGCTGAAGATCTGAGCAGTCAACTACCCAGCTTTTTCACTCCCTTCTTCCTTCTCTTGTAAAAGGTCTCAACTGGTTCCCAGTATTCTGGGTGTCAATTATTCTGAACAAATTAAAGGTGCACGCTTTCTTGTTCTCCTAAAATCAGCCAGACTTTGAGAGGGATGGACTTCTGCTCATCTTAGAGGGGAAGGCACCGCAAAAGCAGGACCTGACTGTGGGAGTGTGAGTGGAGTGCGGGTGGGAGTGAAGTTACTGTCCTGAAATGGTGCAGCGTTTTTCACCAAATCAGCTCTTTTTCCCAAATTACAGCAGAACAGCAAGTGCATCATTACCGATTCAGGAAGCCAAAAGACTGTTATGTCATGAAATTATCTTCATGCCTCAAGCAAGCATTTTCTCTGCCCTAAATACTTATTTATAATCTTGCTTACAGAAAAATACAAGCTGTACTGCACAATAAGTAAGAGTTCTGCCATAATTGCTCCGAACCTTAGGGGCTGGCAGCTCTGTCATGATGTGTACAGGCAATCAAGTGTCTGTCCCACTTCTCTAAAGATATAATACGCTAGCTGGAAGATCATATCTGGTATTGATAAAATCATCAATATAAAGATGTTGTAGTATGCTTTACTGTGTTACATCCTATGATAAAGATGTTTAAATAATTAAAAAAAAAATCTTTACTTGAACTTACCATACCACCTCTTGATGGGCTGAGGCACAACAGAGGACTTCTTTGGGATGGACGGGTTCTTAAACAGTAATTTACAAAAGAATTCCACGGTGCACGGACAAGTAAGGTGATTTCAGGGATGGCATGTGAGTCAGGTGAAAATGATTAACTTTTCAAATTGGCATGCAACAACTTACACAGAGCCTATCTCCAGCACAATTGCCATTTTCAGGTTGCAGGAAGGGTTAAAAA